TCCCTAAGTTAATGTATAGCGATAGGTCTACGGATCTAAACATTATGACAAGGAAGATATAAATAAAAAACTCCACCTATATAAATATAAAAGTCTTGCCGCTTCAACAAAAAAATTGAAAACTTTCTTGTAATTGTTTATGAATAAGGATAAGCACGTGGTTAAATAATGCTAAAGTGGTTTTAAACTTTTGACAGAATATTAAATAAGTATTATGTATGTTATATCTTCAATTTTAACACTAAGAGTTGAGATATAATCTGCGGATACCATCAACTTCGTTAGAATTCTAAAGTATATACATTAATTGAATATTTAAATCGAAAGATATTTTCTTGTATTCATAATATTTATTTGTATTAAATGTTAAAGATTAAACACTAATATTTCAAATTAGTTGAGGATTGTTAGTAGTTTAAAATATGGTGTATCCCATATTGAGTGAAAGATTATTTATATATAGTTTAAAAGAGCTTACTTATGTTATTTAAGTAATTGAGTTAAGTGTTGAAATGAACTAAGTCATTTGAACTTGCTAAGAGTTTTTTTAGTGGGTCATATAATTTTAAAAATCAAAGATAAACACTTGAGCACTTGGAACACTTGGATTTGTTTAATAAATAGTTTTAATTTTTTAATTTTTAATTTTTTATTTCAAAATATTATTAAAATATTATTTTTATTTTGAATAAACATGTTTAAATATAAAAAAACATGATGATTCGAATAAATATATCTGAATAAAAAATATAATTATTTAAATAAAGTTTATTTAAGCAAAAAAATAAGACATACAAAATGTAATGACTTTTTAAATTGACTTGTTTTGTGACTGTTTATTTATTATAAATATATATTTTTATTTGATTAATTTTACTACTTTTAATTTAAAATTTTTTTTAAAATTTTATTGTATCCAATAAGTATAATTACCTTTAAAATAATATTTTTTACACTTTAAAGTTATATTTTTTTCTTTCTTATTATTTCCGTTTTCTTAAATTTTCTAACAGTATTTACATCCGAAATGGTCCAAATGATCTCCAGCACCAACCATGCCATCTTCTCGATTTGTTTTTTGCGGACGGGATGCTTCACTCTTTGCAACTAATCCAATGGCCGTGCCAGGTACTGTAGCCGCTACGTCAAGACTTATAAGTGTACGTTGGAGCAAAATTCAGGTTCCCCCGTCGTTCCAAGTGGATCATCTGTTTACAAAATCGTTGATATTTTGCGGTTTCTTATGGCTATCTTCTATTCACATTTAACGGATAAAAAAATAAATATTAAAATAATTTAAATAATTTAAAAACTCCTTAAATTTTACAATTTTATTTAAATAAATTATTATATTTTTATTGTATTTAAATAAATTTTTAACTTTTAATTTGAACCCAAATAATTCTTTAACTTTTAATTTATATTCAAATAATTGATCACTTATTAAAATTTATTTTTTAATAAAAATCTTAAAATTAATTAAAAAATAATTTTAAGATTTACTAACTTTGGATTTGAAAGTTCAATTATGCGAAGAAAAAATTAATATTTTCATAGCATTTATTTAGAAATAATATCAATTAATTATATGTTATTTTTTAATCTGGATAGAAATGATCTTAATTTTTATGTTTAAAAATAATTTTCCTAATTTTCTTTTATTCATCATAATTTTCGCTTTTTTATCTTTTATTATTATGTTTTATTTGAAAACATAAATTAAAATCTTGTTATTAAAAGAATTCTTAAAATATTTTAATATATTCGTAACACAAAAGAATTTTTTCACACCTAAAAATTTTTTAGATATTATTACTTGGATTATTGATTCATATCTATTTTTTTATGATTTAGTGATATACATGTAATAAAAATAATAAAATATAATATTCAGGTGTACATATTTTATTTATGTATTTATATTCTATTTTATTTTCATTTATTTATTTTTTATAAATTTTTTGTCCCCCTTGTTTAGAGAAATTTTTTTCTTTTTTTATTAATTAATAAAATAATAATATATAAAATATGACCAAAGTATCCGAATAAGTGCAAAGACACATCAAAATTCTGAAAGCAACTCAAGATTTATTGTGATCAATTTGAATAAAATTAGGTGAATATAATCAGGAAAGAAGAGATTAAAGAGTGAACCGTCTGCGCTGAAGCATGAAATGGGAGGAAATAAGTGTGTGGCCGGCAATTTTAATACTATTAGGTGTTCAGAAGAAAGGAAGGGGTGCACTTCTGATGGAATTGGGATTGTTGATAAATGAGGGAGGAATGGAATTTTTTAATTAGGTGATAGATTTTTATAGAAAATGAACTATTCAAGAAGTTGCAGGACATTGTGATTGAAAGTGCAATGAGAACATCCATCCTCGTTGATTCGAGTGATTAAAGAGTTTAATTTTTTTTAAATAAAATTTTAATTTCGAATTTTATAAATAAAAAATATAAATATTAAAAAATATATTTTTTTATAAATTTTGAATTTTACTTCAAATCAATTGAAATCCAAAATAATTATCAAATATCAAGATCCAGACAAAAAAAGGAAGTGCAGTGAGATCAAACTCAAAGGACAATCTAGAGCCGCTATAATTGACTGTTTCATAGATTCCTTGCAAAAATGGGAAACGATTGTTCTGTTTTTCTTTATGCTTGGCTATAACTGACTGTTAGGTGCTCTGTTTTGGTGTATTTGAGATGTTGTATCCAAAGCTTTTTCCTGTGCTTGGATTAAGCATTATGTATTAACTTATTCGATTTAATAATCTTTTACTAATTGCTGAGAAAAAAAAAAAAAAAAAAAAAACCTTGAGAATGAGAGAGTAGAGCAAGCAAAGGAACAAGGCAAAGCATGGGGAGACCAATTGATTTCTTCATGATTTTCTTCTGTTGCTATCTTCAGTTTGTGTATACCTTGCTTTAGTGGTGTGTCCGTGTGCGCTCATAAGCATGAGAGGGACTCAGGGTACAGATTTATAGGTGCTTAAATGAACAAGTTTGCTAAAATCTCCATAAATTTGAAAAAGAATGACAATTTACTTTAATTTTCCAGATTGGTAACAAGTAAATATTGCTTTTCTAATTCTTAATGGGAAGGCCCTCTGATATAGACAACTTGATAGTTGAATTATTAATTCGGATAAAAAGTTGGATTTTTTACTAAATATGAGTAAAATTGACATTTTTATTTTTAAGAATGGGCATTATTGTCTATAACCAATATCCACAATATTAGTTAAAAAAGTATGTTAAAAACAATTTTCAAAATATATATTTAAAAACCAAATTAATTATATTAAAAAAAGAGTATTGTTAAAAGTTTAAGAAAACGTTTATATTGAATACATAAAAAAAGTAATCAAGATTTTTTTTTTTTTTTATAAATAAAACACTTAAGGATTAAATGAAAAGTTTGTAAATTTAATTATAAGTTTGTCAGTAACTTTGTATTTGTAATTTTGTAAATATTTTAAATTTTTTAGTTATTAAAAATTATTTAAAACGAATTATTTGATTAATTGAAAAAACTGTTTCTAAATTTAATTAAAAAATTAAATTAATAATGATTTTTAAATTTATTTTTTTATTTAATTTTAACCAGTTTGGTTCATTACAATCCTATAACAAAAATCAGATCAATTTCATCATCAAGTCACTTGTTCGATCAATCCAACCAACGATCCAATCCAATTCTGATTAACTCAAATTCCTGACTAGTGACTACACCACTGGTTAAATACAAAACTTCAACTCAAAAGCTGCCCACCAATGTTCAAACCACCATATTAAGCTTATACTCATCGACAAAAACCATCAAACTAAGCGTATGTGACGATTGCTCGAGGAGGGTTAAAATGGCAGATCATGCTTTTTTTTTTTATATAAAAGAGGCTGAAGTTTGAGATTAACAAATAAATTTTAAATATTAATATTTAAATTTTAAATCGATTTAATATCATTTTTAAAAATGAGTATGCGAATTATTTGAAGTAAAATTTGAATTCAAATGCCATATTATGCTTTACTCATTTAAATATATATGTAAATTTTAAAAATTTCAGCATGCATTTACCTTGATTATCTTTACTTAGAGTTTATAAATACTGTTTAATTATGTATTGATCCTGTTAAGATTTCCCATACTCTAACAAACAACTTGAATTTTAAAAAATTTCAACTAATTAAGTAAGCATCTTTGAAAGGCTCAAATCGTTAAGAACATTGTTTATCATCATGAAAATTAAGAAATTTTATAACATTGAAAGATATGCTCTACCTGACAATATTTGTGTGGTTGGTGAATTCATTTGCTAGAAATTAAAAAAATTTTCCCAATCGTGCCGTCACTCACAAACACCAACTACATTTAATTGTAATAACAGAATATCAGTCACCACTTTGAAGGAATCTTAGCCGATGTCAGCCAAATTATTAGGAGAATAAACACAGCATGTTTATATAAATATTAGACGAAAATGAAATTTAATTTCAATTATTTTTTTTATTAAGCAAAAAAAGATTATTGATTTTTATCCAATACATCTCTTTTTTAGATTGATTCAAATAAATTTATTTATATTAAATTTAATAAATTTATAAAAAAAAATTTTCATAATTTTTCAACATATTAATTGAATCCAAATAATAAAAAGAGAAATACTTTATTTGTCATTTAAGCTAATTATCCGTTTTATTTCACTTATATTGTATAAATATATTAGAGAAATAATATTTTTTATTCTTTTAACTAAATTTTCTAATTAATATTTAAATAAGCATGCGCAACAAATGCCGCCAAAATAATTAAAAAAAAAAAAAAACAACTTGACAATAAATTAATAACAATACAATACAATTTGTTCTATATAAAAAGAAAAAGAAACCATAGGCTATCAACAAAACCAGTATTATCTATAGCTTCAACTGCAACTTGCTAATTCACTAAATCATAATCTCTCTCTCTCTTTCTCTCTCTCTCAATGAGTTACATGGCTTCAACCAAAATTTATCTCCTTGATCTCAAAGATAGGGGGCTTGCAATTTCTTCAATTGGTCATATCCAAACAAAAGCCGAAGCAAAAGCCTTAATCACCAACATATTACAAGGAAGAAATAACAAAACCAAGAAAAAAACATTACCATTATCAACATCCTCGTTTTTCTCCACTCTTTTTTCAAAGTCCCAAAAGCATCTCCATAATGCTTTTAAAGTTATTGATCCACCTTTTCACTCTTCAGTTGATTCATGCCCGGCTTTTGGTGGAAACTTTGCACCGGTGGAGGAGCTAGAGCCAACCGATTGTGAAGTAATCATGGGTGAACTTCCACTCACTTTTAATGGCGTTTACATCCGAAATGGTCCGAATGATGCCCAGAACCAACCAGGCCATCTTCTCGATTTGTTTTTTGGGGATGGGATGCTTCACTCTTTGCAATTATCCAATGGCCATGCCAGGTATTGTAGCCGCTATGTTAAGACTTACAAATATATGATTGAACGAGATGCTGGTTCCCCCCTATTTCCAAGTGCATCATCTCTTTACAAGATCGTCGACCTTTTGAGGTTTCTTATGGCTATATTAACAGGTCATTTAGATCCCATGAAAGGGAGTGGAGTTGCCAATACAAGCCTTGCCTTCTTTGCAAACAAACTTGTTGCTTTGTGTGAGTATGATTTGCCGTATGCTATTAATTTGACAGAAAATGGCGATATTGAGACTTTGGGGCGTTGGGAATTTGATGGGAAGCCGAAGTTACTTGCAAACATGACTGCACATCCTAAAGTTGATTCGGAGACAAAGGAGACATTTGCTTTCAGGTGGAGTTTAATTTTTCCTCATCTCACTTTTTTTCGCTTCGATGAAAATGGTATTAAGCAAAAAGAAGTACCAATCTTTTCCATCAAGCAACCAAGTTTCTTCCATGACTTTGCTATAACCAAGAGGTTTGCAATTTTTCATGAGACACAATTAGTAGTTTCACCAATGAAGGTGATGATGGGAAGAGGTAAACTCGTGGATTACCAACCGGGTAAAACTCCAAGAATCGGAGTCATACCAAGAAATTCTCTCAATGATTCAGAGATGAAGTGGTTTGAAATTCAAGGGTTTAACACAATCCATATCCTGAATGCTTGGGAAAATGGGGATGACGAGATAGTTGTTCTGGCACCCAATATAGCTTCTTTCTATAACGCTTTCGATGAGAATGTGGAGATCAAATTGGAGAAGGTAACAATCAACATGAAGACTAAAAATGTTTCTAGAAATATTCTTTCCCCAAGAAATCTAGATTTTGGATCAATAAATCCTTGCTACGTTGGGAAAGAGACTCGTTTCACCTATCTAGGAGTGAATACAGAAGCAAGCATGAAAATGTCAGGTGTAGTAAAAATTGACTTGAAAATGGGGGGTGAAGTTGGGAGACGATTTTATGGACTCGGGTGCTTCGGAGGTGAGCCATTATTTGTACGAAGAAATCCAGAAGATACTATGTCTGATGAAGATGATGGCTATTTAGTGAGTTATGTGCACAATGAGCAGACAAACGAGTCAAAATTCTTGGTGATGGACGCCCAATCACCAGAGCTCGACATTGTTGCAATGGTCAAGCTACCAAGGAGGGTGCCATATGGCTTTCATGGTTTGTTTTTGGCTAAGGATCAGATTCCAAATTATTCCATATTCCCTGTAAATGAACTAAAGTGCAACACATGATTACAAAATGATACGCCTAGTAATGAACTTGTATTTAAAGTAAATTTCGTTATTTATGTATTTGTATAATATAAAATATTGATAATTTATTTATTCGTATTATATTTTATATAAAAATTACATTCATAATTTATGTTGACACCAAAATATGAAATATATTATTTTATTTTGTTAAATTCATATATAATTTTAGTTAAAATTTTAAACTGTATTATTTATATATTTTTATCATATCATTTATATATTACATCATCATATTATATTTTAAGTTATAAAATAGTCATGATCTTTTCTCCTAGACTTATAAATTCATTGTTTTAGGTTTGTTTTTCCTTTTTTCTTTTTTGATAGTTTGTTCTTCCAAATTATACTGTTCTAGTGCACTTAATAATTAAGGGTTAAATAATTAATTAATGTTAAAATTTTATAGAGTACGTGAGTGGGGCGGTTGTAGACTAGTAGTACCATGATTTATTATTCTAAATTATTACATTTTGCATAGGAAGGAGAAGGAAAAATATTAGATTATCGTGCTGCATAAATAAATTAATTAGTAACACGATTTTGCTAAATTTTAAAATGAAAATTTAACTTAAAATTAATTACTAAAAATTTCATCTTGAAATTTATTTTACATAAAAAATCAAAATTAAAGGATAAGAGAAAAAGTAATAAATACTGAAATTTAAATATCAAATTTATTATATATTATTTCTTAAAAATGATTATACAAACCCATTAAATTAAACTTCATATTCATGGATGTTTGCTTTTAAGTCAAGGGAAATACTTCTCCAATTGTCATGTTTGGGTGAATACTATTGCTAGATTATAATTAAGTTACCTGTAATTTTATTTATCATTATACACTAATTATATGAGCCTACTAAAAGGGAAGAAATAAAAGGTGGTGGTCATATTGTCAAGAAAAAAAAAAAGCATGTTCTTGCCCATTTGACTATAGAAAGCTTATTTTCAATAGAAAATCTGGTTTTTTTTTTTTTTTTGTTAAGAGAAGAACTGTTTTCCAAAATATCAGCATTCTCAAAATGTGAATATGTTGATGAACAAGTTCATGAGAAAAAAAAATTATTAGATAAGGTGGATATAAAAATGAAAAGAGAAGAAAAGTAACAAAAGTAACAACTTGAATTTAAAAAATTCTCAACTAATTTTAATTAGCATCTTTTGAAAGGCTCAAATTATTAAATACATTGTTTTATGATGAAAATTATGAAATTTTATGACATTAAAGGATATGCTCTAACAGACAATATTATTTGGTTGGTCAATTCATTTGTTAAAAATTAAAAAATTAGTTAATTATGCTACAAATTTTTTTTTCTTGAAAGTGTTCAATTTGATTGAAAAAAAATATTGATTAATTAAAATTCGAATTTAACTCATTTTATTTGTGTGATATTTTTTTAAAGATGGCATTTAATAAATTTATATTTAAATTTAAGTAATCACAACTCTCTTTCTTATACTCAAATTATGATTTTTCTCAAAAAATTATAATGATTAATTAGGGAGTAATATTTTATACTAAATTTTCTAATTAATATTTAAAAGAGCATGAACGACAAATGCCGCTTAAACTTTTTTTTTTTTTTTTAAGAAAAGTAAATGTCAAAATAATAGTAATAAAAAAAAAAACAGTGTATACTTTTTCAAATAACACCTTTGGGTTTGGTTTCTAAACTTTTAAAAAAGCCGACATGCCGACGAGGCGTTGATGTAATTTCATCGAAGCATAGAATATTCGACTCTTTCTTTCCTCTCCGGTTCTTAGTTGGTGGCCGACCCTCCTCTCTCTCTTTCTTAAAAAAAACAACAAAATCCAGCGTAAACCAAACTTTCCCGTTAACTTTTCTAGAAATTGCCACCCTTTTGAGATTTGTTTCTTCTTTAGATTCTTATAATTTGTTTTTAAGCAAATTTATAAATTCGATCTGTTAAAGAGTTTTTGAAAAATAAAATTGAGAATAATGTTCGACGGAATGATGGATCCTGAGTTGTTTAGAATCGCTCAGGAACAAATGAGTCGTATGTCACCCGCTGAGTTAGCCAGGATCCAACAACAGGTTCAATTTTCTATCTTTTCGTTCTTTTTTTTTTCTTTTCTTTTTTATAAATTTTTATTGATTTTGTTTTGATCAGAATTACGAAACCCATGTAGGATTTAGTAAATTTGTTTTCTTTTCCAATCTGGGTATTTAAGTTTTTTGAAATTTATATTGGGTTTCAACTTTGATTTATTTTTAATTATAAAAATACAATGTGGGATTGCTTTCGTATTGGCTATATATGGTTGAATTGAAGAATAAAACCTGTGTAAAAAAATTTTTTTGATATAAAATTATATTTCTAGTATTATATGATCTTCGATTTTTTAGCTCAATATTTTATGTTAGTGACCCTTTTTTCATGGAATTAGTTGTCTTTTTTTTTTTCTGGTGCGTAATTAGTCTGCTTTTTTTTGAACCAATACTTAGTCTGCTAATATATCTGAATTTCTTCTGCTTTTGAAATAAAATTAATTTATCCGATAATTGTGAGGTTTAGTAATGAGTAACGGGTTTTAGCTAAATTGGTTATGAAGTAAGGATGTTACCAGTACCACCACTTGAAATTGAAGAAGTAATCAGATTGTAGTTGATTATTTGCTTTTTTTTTTTTTTTGGTATAATCAACGTTAATGGCTGCTGTTATTGTGGATTCAATGGCATTGCAGATGATGTCTAATCCTGATTTGATGAGAATGGCCTCAGAAAGCATGAAGAACATGAGACCTGAAGACTTGAGACATGCTGCAGAACAGTTAAAGCACACACGTCCTGAGGAGATGGCGGAGATTGGTGAGAAAATGGCTAATGCATCACCTGAAGAGATAGCTGCTGTGCGTGCCCGTGCTGATGCTCAGATCACTTATGAATTAAGTGCATCTCAGATGTTGAAGAATCAGGCGAGTTATTGCTGTCCAAAATCACATCATTGCTGTTGATATACAATCTCTCATATAGATAAAATATATGCCCATCTGCAAAAGATATTTTTTAGTCCATATTCTTAAAGAAAGAAAATACCCATAGGAGCCTTGAAGCTGATACAAAAAGTAATAATACTCTTTCTTTTAAAAGTTTTAAAGAATTGAACACATTATAAAACCTGTGATGATATACTATCAGACTAATGGGTTGTCTTGAACCATTAAGCTGCATTTGCATAACTTAAACAAGTTAGTCAAATATATGAATATGAGTTGTATGTAAAAAATACCAGAGATCAATTGTGTATGGATAATATTCAACTATGACTCATGTGGAGCCAATTCATTGCTAGGGATGCATTTTGTGCATATTTTTGTGGAATAAAATAAGACTTCCTCAATTGCTATGTAAGCGCATGGCTTTCCTTCCTGGATGCATATAAATATGTGTTTGTTAATTTGTTTCCAAAAACCAAAGGTATAATTATTGTTAACTTTACACATTGAATCTTGAAAAGTCTTTTTTAACTGTGGAATTCTTTTCAAATAAGAGAGTAAGAACAGAATCAATGTGTTGTAACTTTAATTATGGTCCACCCTGTCACAGTTTTTTGTCTTATTTACTATTACCCCTTATTAACTTGCATCTGACATGGATAAATATGTCTATTTAAATTTTCCAGGGTAATGAGCTTCATAATCAAGGGAAGTTCGATGCTGCCTCTGAGAAATATTTGCTTGTAAGCCAGCAATTTATATTTCTTTTTTACAATTATAAGAAAAATTCTTGCCTTTTTTTAAAATTTATCTCATTTCATATTAATTAAAATCCTGATTACCTCTTTCACAATCTTAGGCAAAGAAAAACCTGAAAGGAATTCCATCCTCCAAAGGAAGAGCACTTTTATTGGCATGCTCTCTTAATCTGATGTCCTGTTACTTGAAAACAAGGCAATACGATGACTGTATAAAAGAAGGCTCTGAGGTATGAAGATTGCATTTTCTTCTTTATTGTTGTGATACAGTACTATAGGTTTTGTCATAAATTATATTCTCAAGTTATCCCTCATCCCAAGATAATGACAAAATTTCTTTAACATTACTAAACTAGGCTACTAATTAAATAAACAGATAAATTAATAGTTCTCTGTACAATTAGTATGTCATAGCTTGAGATCTTCTATCTTCTCTCTAGCTAAAATTACGTATTTGTATTTTCAGGTTTTGTCATATGATTCAAAGAACGTCAAAGCTCTTTACCGAAGAGGTCAAGCATATAAAGAACTAGGCCAACTAGAAGTGAGTTTTATATGAATATGGTTTTTTATAAATGGTTGCTGATTGCATTTGATAGACATTTTCAAATTTTGGAATAATCCACTCATTTGTTTGTGTTTACTTACTAACTGTCTGCAATTTACTAGGATGCTATCTCTGACTTGAGCAAGGCACATGAAGTTTCCCTTGATGATGAAACAATTGCAGATGTTTTGAGGTATGAATTTATTTGACTTAAGAATGTGGAAACATGGGATAATGGGATAAGTTGTAGTCAGCTGCATTCATTTATAAAGTAGTTTATGCACCAATGCCCATTATGACTATCATTGGGTGGGATGCAATAGGTGCGTTTTGTTTAATTTTTTTCTTTTAAAGAAAGCCCTTGGTATTTACATTCACCTGTTATGTGGTTTAGTTATTAAACATTATTCATAAAATTGATGAAATGTCATTTTTTGTTGAATGTGCCATGCTGGTTAGTGATGTCAATTATTGATGTAGGGATGCTGAGGAAAGATTGGGTAGAGAAGGCAGTCATCAGGCACCTCGAGGTAAGTTTACTGTCCTATATATTGTTGTTGTTGTTGTTGTTGTTGTTATGGCTACTCTCTCTCTCTCTCTCTTATATATTTCTTTGATGTTTACACTTCTGTTGCTCCTTATTTCACAGGAGTGGTAATTGAAGAAATAACTGATGAAGCTGCTAGCACCTCTTCTGCTAATCTTCAAAGTTCATCTACTGAATATTCATTGAAACAACCACGAGAAAGTACTGGATTCTTTAAGAGTGAGAAGGGGGGAAATGTTGGGGATGTGACAACCAATTCTGAGTGTCTGCAGGCTCTAAAAGATGATCCAGAAGCACTCAGGTTTGTTTTCATTATCACAAAATTGTCTGTTAGGTGATCTTCATTTGCTTAGTCTGGTAATGCCATATTCTGTCAGCTATGGTTGGATTATGTCAAATATATAACAATGACTTCTAAAATCACTTAACGACCTGAACATAGAGAAACTTGAGGATTTTTTATAAGGTGCTGTAAAGCACATTGACATTAGCTATATATCAGTTTTAGCTGCAGAAAAATAAAGATTTCCTCCAAAAGCTAATGGAATTTCTGCTCTCTTAATTTCTCATTGTGTTGGCTCTAAATCTTAGTAGCATTAATTTATAGTAATCACCTTATAGTTATGTACATGAATACAATCCACTATGAAATATATACATGGTGGGTAGATGAGATGGTGAACTTTAAAAGGGTATTGCTCCCAGAAGTAAAACTTGGAGGATTGAAACATCAGTGTACAAAGTGTGACATGTCCCACCCACCCACAGAACCAAATCATTTCTCCATGTTTTTATTGTTTTCCATTATTTTCCCACCTTTATAGCTCCTAAATGCTGAAAGTCTAAGGTATGTACTGTAGCAATTTTTTGTACTCCATTGTTAATATGTTTTTTTGGCCAGCTATTATTAATCTGTTTAGAGGGTCATAAAATTGTTCAATTCTCTCATTACCCCTTGTGATTAGCAGATCATTTCAGAATTTCATTTCTAACGTTGATCCTGAGACCCTTGCTGCTATGAGTGGTGGTAAAGTTGGAGATGTGAAACCGGACATGTTGAAGACTGCTTCAAATATGATCAGCAATATGTCACCTGATGAGCTACAGAAAATGGTTCAACTGGCTTCCTCATTTCAGGGGGAAAACCCATATACAGGTCATTTTAAAAATGGATTTGGACCTGGATCAGTTCCTCCAAATGTAACACCTGACATGCTTAAAACTGCAACTGATGTGATGACCAAGATGCCTCCAGAAGAGCTTCAAAAAATGTTTGAAATGGCAGCATCTTTAAAGGGGAAAGATTCTATTCCCACATCAACAGCTGTAAACGGTAGCAGTCTAGGTTCAGATGCTGAGGTAAAATATCCAGAATCTGAGACAGCATCTGTCACCAATGGGAATGATGGTTTTGGTGAAACCAGTTCTAGTCGTTTTCCAAATCCAATGAGTACTCAGTCAAATTTTCCAACATCAACTGCTGATTTACAAGAACAAATGAGAAGCCAAATGAAAGATCCAGCTATGCGGCAGGTATGACAGAAGATATTATCATTATTATTCCCCTAGCATTAGTTTTTACTTTTAATGCTTAAACTGATATAGGCAATAGCTGATAGAATGTTGTCATTCTCAATCGCATGAGTCTTTTCATAATTAGAGCTTGCATTACCTCAAGTTCGTGTCCTTTAATGTCTTGTTGCTTATGAACTGGGCAGGTGTTTGCATCAATGATGAAAAACATGAGCCCAGACATGATGGCAAACATGAGTGAACAATTTGGATTGAAGCTTTCTCGGGAAGATGCTGAAAAAGCTCAACAAGCTATGTCATCTTTATCACCTGAGGACTTGGATAGAATGGTATATTTAATATTTTTATTACCCTGCTTTTTACAATTTGCTATATAAGACTTGGTGCATATAATTATTAAACCATTTATCGTATATATTTATCTCAAATTCTTAGTTTAATAGTGTGGTTTTTTCTGAGGTTTTCATCTTTAGCTTTTAAGTCTGTAGATCCATGGCATTTGCTTATATACGTTACTGTGATATTGTCTTATAATTGGATTATTTGTTTGGTTGGTAAGTAAATGGATTGGGAGAAAGGGGCAAATGATTGGTATCATTAATTTCTTTGTTATTTGTCTTTGTTGTTCTTTTAATTTCCTTCTCCAAAAGTATTTTATGAATCTTATGAGATTAGAAGGTAGAATGAAAGAAAGATAAGCATAGATGGGTGTCATCTCCATGCTGAGTTGTTTCTATATGTCCCAACTCCTACGAAATTGGATGCTAATGTTTAATTTCACGTCTGTTTGCATGTTGCTCTAGTGCAGATAGCTTTCTCTATGTTACCTTGTTCTCACTGAAGTTTGTTGGGTGGTCTTTGACGAAAATACTTCAGTCAGAAGTTTAATGGGTCTGAGATCTTTCTGTTTGTTGAATTGTTGCTGACGGTTTGCTGAAATTCTCTAATCAGTGTTCGCATCCTATGCTTAAGAACCCTATTTTGAAATGACCGCTATCCTGCACATTGTTGTTGACCTGTGAAAAAAACAAGGCAGGATGGACCTGCCTGATTATACACCTGTAACCACTTCCATGGGGCTCATGTACCCACTTTAAATTTAATTAGATATAAAAGTTGGCCAATGTTAGGTTGTGAAATGAGGTACCGTCTCACCCAAAATAATGGTAAATAAACTTGCACATCCGAAGAGGTTAGGTCACCTTATAGACTGGTGTAAGATGTTCATGGCTTACTTATTGACCATTCATCGTCATCCTCTGTTAAAGTCATCTCTGATTTCGCTGATTGTGGTGGATGTTTCTTTACCATAATGTTTACATCTTTGCCTCCAAAAAATAATGTTTTCCCCTTCACTATATTGTTCCAGATGCGTTGGGTAGATAGGATCCAGAGAGGAGCAGAAGGTGCAAAGAAGGCAAAGAACTGGTTGCTTGGAAAACCTGGTATGATCCTGGCAATATGCATGCTCATCTTAGCAGTGATTCTTCACCGGTTAGGCTTCATCGGTAGTTAGAATGGTACCAATCTCCATTTTGGAACTTCTAATTGAGGTGATGTTGGAAACTAACATGCATTTTGGGTCGCAAGATGGTAAGAGAGGAATTTTGAGCTACATGTTCTCTCAATTTGTGTTCAATGGATGAACGGGTGGCTGGGATTTCTTTCGAATGTAATCGATCAATGGGTTCAGCCTTGATGTTAGGTTGTATTGTAGGAGACTAGGTGCCAAGGTTACTTAGTCAAAGGAGATTCAAAGCAACGATCCTGATATCAAACTTGACTTCCATTTTTGTAGCATAATTATATAATAATGCATGCATTTTGGGGAGATATGACGTACTGATCATGATTTGTTTTTATATCAACTTTATAAAGCAAGGTGTGCTCGAGTAAATACATTGTTTTCTCTCTTTATATTTAGTATATTTTTTTGAATTAATTTTACACTAGAAATAAGCTTGCACTATGTTGCGAGTCTCTTTTATCTAAATTAATATAAATAAACTTTTTTCTTAATTTTATTATCTTATAGGAATATCAATAAATGTTAATTTTAATATTAATTGTAATGATATTTTCGAGAAATAAAATGATTATTTTAAATATACTATTGATTCATTGATTTTAAAAAAAATTAAATTAATTTTAATATTTTTAAGACTTGAAATTAATACATTAATTAGTACAAGATCATGATTTTCAATGTTTTGCATTGTGAAATTTGGTGTTGTTAGGTATGGATGGTGGGTTGTACTTGAGCAAGCCTAAGTTCCATTAATCGAATTGAACTTCTTAGAGATTCTGTCCAACCTTAAATGAACTTAGTTGTTAGGTAAATTCCAAAATCAAAGTTATTAAAGACCAGCCTAACCTTGAATATTTTGATGGATGAACGTCTAATTCCACTATTGTCACTGACTTACCCGCTGCTGCCTGCTGTCATCTATACCGGAAATAAATTAAAACATTTATTAATTCTTAGGTTGCAGGACCGGTCAAAATCATTTCGCATTGTCCAATCTACGCCGTTCATCTTCAAGACTTCGCAGTCAGCTCACGCGTGGACACCATTAGCCATTTTTCATTTTCCTCCTGTTTCAACACGCGGGATTTCCACATTTGATTTTTGAAATGGGCGCTCCTTAGAAATCTCAGGCCAGATTTTTTAAATGAGGAATAAATTTGTTATAAAAATTCGGAATAATACACTTTTCTTTTTTTTTTTATTTGTTTTCGATTTAAAATTTTAAAATATAATATAATGATACGATATAAATATAATACGAAAATAAAATAAAATATAATAATTTAAAATTTTAATAATAATTATATATGAATTAAAATATAAAAATATATATTTTATATTTTTACATTAATATAAATTTTGATATATAATTTTTATATAAAACACGATATAAATATATAAATTTTAATATTTTACATGATATAAATATATAAATATCAAATCTAATCAATATTTGATGATATAAATTTTTAATTTCACTAACAAAATTAAAAGAGTGACATATTTTATTTTTTAATTAATTTTTTATTTTTATAAATATATCTTAATGTATATGTGTTACGTTACAAATTTCACTTTTAAAATCTAAAAATTTCGCATGTAAAATCCGTAAGTTTTACTTATAGTAAACAAAGACGGAGTCAAAAATTTTATTTGATGGGAGTTTAATTCAAATATATCAAATTTAAAAAATAATAATACTAATAACAATTAAAATTTTCATATCCAACCATAATTGTAAAAAAAAATTACAATTGTTCACGGTTTCATATTTAAAAATGTCATACAATACTTGGATTGTTCGGTAACATTTTCATTTTATGTTTTATGTTTTTTTTTTTAGTTTTTTTTTTTAATTATAAACAAAAACGTATTTGCTAGTTTGTTTTTATTTTTTTATTTTTTTAAATTAAAAATTAAATTTTGAAAAGTTTTGAAAATTATTAAAAATGAAAAAAAAAGATATTTTCAGATTTTTTGAAAATAATTCCAGTATTGTTATCGCGCGCGTACGTTCACCCATTTGACTACAGTGTTGCTACAGTTTAAAATTTTTGTTTTTGACAAAAATCGAACCTCTACGCTTTAGGATTTAAAAACTTTAATTGCTTTCTCTTTTTTGTTGTGTCTTTGCTTTATTTTTATAATAAAAATATTTTATCTAAATATGTTTTTAAATTAAAATAAAATAAAATAAAATTTTAAAAATATAAAATAAAAAAACATACAATAATACAAAACGACCCTTAATTATCAATATTTTAAACACATTTTTTTAACATACACAATTAAGCTATTATTTCAAATTGATCCTCATTATATTACATAAACGAATCTTTGAAATATTCATTGATGGAAATGCTTTCTATATTGTGCAAGTAGCAATTGATAAATTAATTTTAGTTTAATTAATTAATTATAAAATACTCCCCACAAATGTATGGTCATTATTTTCCTTATGACAAAAGTCATAAGTAATTTTTACATATTATTAAAACCAACATTTAAAAAAAAATTTTAAATAATTTTTTATGAGTAAAATTGTTAATTATTGAGAACTTATTCTTGCTTAATAGGTTTTAAGACTTTCACAGCGAGATGCAATATTTTCTTGATACATGTTAATTATTATTAAATAATTCTTATAACTGAATAAATTCGTTAAAACTTAAGAAAAAAATATAATTAAAGTAAATTGAGTATTAATTTTGATGTCACGTATATTGATTTATTAAATTGAGTTTTAATTTACATTGATTTATTAATTAATATATTTTTAAAAATTACGGAAAAATATATTAGTTACTCCTTGAATTACGAAAATAGAGTGTGGAAGTAAAAAATTAAGGATAAATTAGAATTTAAAAAATATAATTAAATACAAAAAAAAGTATAATTATATATTTAATGTAGAGGTGCTCTTATCAAAATATTTATTGGAAAACCAATTGTCCAAACCATATTAAACCTCCCGGAGTCTTCCATTTTATAATGAAGCGGTTTCTTTTGGTTAGTATTTAATATTTGAAATAAACCAAGTTAAGAAAACGAAAATAAAGCACCCATGGAATTTTCTTTCGATTTTCCCGGCAATTCCTCCGTTTTGTAAAAGAAAAAAAATATCCCTTTGATTTCCTAACTGGATTTTCCTTTTTTTTCTTCAATTTTATCTCTTATATTCCCTGTTTTTCCTTCATCTTCTTTGCTTTCTTGATTGATCAGAAAATCCCGTTCAAAATGAATCAAAAATCACTTTCTCCCGTATTTTCTTCTTTTCAAAATCACCCTTTTCGTTTTCTTTAGCCTTTTTTTCTCGCTTTAATTTTTTTTGTTTTGAGTGAGAATTTAGAGAGAATTAAATACCCTGTTGGTTGAATATGAGTCGTCAGGTTTTGATAAGATCACCGCCTGTGACACGGAGGCAACAGTTATTGATATCGGAGGATCCGAAGACGGCGAGAAAAGGGAAGAAATTCGGGGAAGTGGTCGGTGGCACGGCGGCGGAGTGCGCGGCGGTGTGTTGTTGCTGTCCATGTAGCGTCATGGAGCTGCTTGTTTTGGGTCTTTTTAAAGTTCCCACTGGACTTTGTAAGAAGGCTTGGAAAAGGACGAAACGACAGCGTTTGAAGGCGAAGAATCAGGACTTATCGGGCCCGGCTCAGGGCAGGCCCACGAGGGAGGAGTTGGAGGCTGAACTGCATCGGATGGTGGGGAAAGGGGAGCGACATGGGGTTGATGATCATGATGATGGGTCCACGGGAGCAGTTGAATTTGAAAATGAGATGTGGGACCGGTTTCATGGGACTGGATTTTGGAGGAGTCATTCGCAGATTGAGACGTGACGTGTCAGTACGAGTGGAATTAAATATACACTCCGTCAGTATATGAGACCTTCGGAAAATTTTTATTTTTGTGGATATGAAAAAAAAAAAAATTAGAGATGTTTTGTCTCATATTTGAATTTTGATTGAATTATAATTAAAAAAAATCTTGAAATTTAAGATTTTGGTGAGTAGTGTAAATAGGGTAAGGACTTTGAATTGGATACAAATTGGTAGAGTCAACCTTAATTGATACTTGATTATTTTTAAAAGCAAAAAAATTTAGGTTTAAGCAGTGATTTTAAAAAAATTCTCTAACATTGTGCTTTGCTTAGTGAGTTGCACCCTTCGTTGCAAATAAAATGGTGTTATACAGTGAACTTTTTTTCATATATTAACTAATTACATTTATAATAGTCATGTTTTAGTGTGCATGATAACATTTATAGGCAACTTTAAATAATATACTTTAGAATAGTTTTTTTTTTTAACCGTGCATAACAACATTTGTTTTTTAAATTTTAATATTTAATTTTATAGTAAACGAGGGAAGAGACAACCCACGTGGTACTTCTTTCTTCATTTATTCTCTAATTTTTTTTAATTAATTGTTTTTATAAAAAAATCGAGATAAGAGCGATAGAATAATTTGTATTCAATTTGTTTGATTTGCACAGATTCAACATCGGTGCGTTTTTAAAAAAATTAAGATTAAATTTAGTTTTTTTTTAAGTAGGGTCAGTTGGAGATGGTTTCAAGATATTTCTTTCATCTTGATTGTTCACGTAACACCAACAATTTTTTTTTCATTTTCGCTTTAAAGCTTTTGTATTTTTATCCCTTTTTTTCTTTTAAAATTTTTTTTATTTTTTATTAAATAAATTTTATAATAAAAAAATTTATTAAAATATAAATAAAAAATTAATTCGTATCTAATAAATTTTGATTTAATTTAATCTAATTGACATACTTTATTTTAATTTAAGATAATTATGTTAAGATTTTTTTTAAATTGAGTTTGAGTCCGAATAAAATTTTGGATATTAAATCTCAGTTTAGTATATAAAAATATATATTTCTCTTGTTATCTCATTTAATTTTTTATCATTTTTTTATTTTTTTAAAATTTTGTTTACAATAAATTATCAAATATATTAATTACGGAGTTTTTAATTTCATAATCAGAATTAAGATATTGATATATGTCTCTTAATATATATTTAAAAAATAAAAAATTAATTAAAAAAATAAAATATATGTTATTATTTTAATCTTACTTGTAAAATTAAAAAACTTGATTGTTAGTATATAAATTAAATAAATTTTGTAAAAAAAAAATTAGTAAATGCATAAATAACAAAACAATTTATACCCAATAAATTTCAATTTAATATGATTATTTTAATAAAACTTTAATTCAGTTTTGACTCTTTAAATAATTTAGATCAAGTAATTGAATTTGAGATATTTTGTGTCGGCTTTTATTGAGATATATAAAAAGTATATTTTATTTATATTTATATTATATTAATAAATATATTATTTAATATTTTAATTTAATAAAATTATATTTATATATAATTAAGTTATAATTTATATTAAAAATAAATAAACTTATATTTATTTATATATTGTCATCTATTAAATTTTAATATAAAAATTTTATTTTTTTTATATTTAAATATATTAAAAAAATTATCCTGTAACAAAATTCGGCTGCACGGATGTAATTCTAATATATTTTACATATTTAAAGAAGCCAAACACAGTAAAAAAATGCCAGCCAGTCATAGAGTTATTTGATATAATTATCAAAAAAAATTCATAAAAGTAAGTTACAAAAAATATTAAGTACTGCTATTATTTTTATTATTTATAAATTTAATTATTCAAACATAGTATTGTATTTGCCATTTTCCATGCCGACATCAGTAACATGCTTTGTTACTTAAAGCGAAGTCACTGCAGTGTGAGTGTGACAGAATGATAATAGAAATAATCGTCTAAGATATTACACTGAAGTTGCCACGTGCCGAAAAACCACACATGCTACCCAACCCCGCTTTTTTGTTCACTTTTTCCGCTACCCTTTTCCCAGGTCTTCTCGTCACCCTCTTCGTAATGTAGTAAAAAGTCATTCCTTTCATCGATTCTTCCCAAAAGGAAAAAAAAGAAAAGATAAAAAACCCAAATTCAAAGTCTCCCCTTTTGCCCATTCTACTAAAAAGAAATTAGGATTTTTTTGTAAAACCCACCCTGTCATATTAATCGATCTACTGGATAACTTTCTTTTCAACTCTCAAATGGAGGTAAAGTAAATTCTGGGTGTTTCATTGATTTTGTTTCTGGGTTTTTTTGGGTTGTTTGGTTGGTGAGAAAATGGAGATAAAGTTTAAGAATTTATGGGAAAAGTTGGTGAATTTTATGGATTTTTTTAATATCTATTCTGAATTTTGGAGTTTCTGTTTTAGTGATTTTTTTTTTAATTTTTAGGCTTAATTTTGTTGATCTTTTGTTAAAGTGACTGATTTTATGAATCTGATCAGTGTGTTGTCTATGTCTTCAGTGTTGATTATGTATGGACTGTTTTGATGGATTTTTTTTTATCAAGGTGTTGAATTTCTTTATTGGTCACTGTTGGTTTAATTTTGTACCTAAGGCTTATGTTAGTTTCATTTGAAATTGAGATTAAAAATAGATGCTTTGGTTTTTGGCCTTGTAGGGAACGGAAGATACCAAGTCTGAGGCGCATTTAACCTCTGCGGCAGCTTTTGTGGAAGGGGGAATTCAGGATGCTTGTGATGATGCTTGCAGTATATGCCTTGAAGAATTTTGTGAAAGTGATCCATCGACAGTATGTATGCCTGAAAAGTTTGGTTCGTATCTGTTTGATATTTGAATGGACATTTTTTGATCCTTGTTTGTTGCATCACTTACAGGTGACCAGCTGCAAGCACGAGTTTCATCTTCAGTGCATTCTCGAATGGTAGTTTAATCCTTATCTATTTTATAAAATTCATTTTAGTTTTTAATTTTTTATATCTGCATATGTGAGTAGTATGTCTGGATGATCTAGTTTTGATCTTGAATGCGGCTATCTACTTACTTTATATATCAGTCAGGGAGATGACTTAATTTAGTAAAATTCTCAAATTGACTAGACTTGTAAAACTGGGAAAGGTTTAATTTAGCTGGCGCTCTTGCCTTCTGATTTAGAATTTTGGATTTGATATTGTTTTATGTTATGCAGTGCAAGTTCTTTTATGCTTTGCATTCCAAGTTCTTTTTAGTGTTTTAAAAGTGAGGAGCTTTGTAAATATAACAGAATAGATAAACTAAATATGATGCTTAAGAAGAATCGAGTTGTATTTTAGTTGCCTAGGTCTAGCATGCAGGCAGGTTAGAAGCAATATTAGGGTGTGACTTTGAATTATTAAAGCACATTGTCCATTTCATTTTTTGATCACCATAAAAGAGATCAAACCTTCATTAACATTGTTGGCTTAACTTCATGTTCATGCTATGGAAGCATTGTGAATTGTTGATTATGCCTGATGTGTACTGCTGTTTGTCCATGAAAGTTAAAATTACTCATGTTAAATGTTAACTGATTATTTTGAATTCCACTACATTGTAAAAGAGAGCTTCAGGGAGTTAAGATGCTTTCTATGAAGAAAGGAATATTATGTGCATGTTGGTGTTAGAGACTGGTTAAGGGATCTAAAAATAAGGATTCTGGGGGATAGATTAAAAAATTAGGGATTTAAATTAGATTTTTTGGGTGAGACTTTCTAAAATGATTAAGTAGTAGGACTTCGTATTATTACTGTTGAAGTAGGAAGGTTGTATGTGTTGTTCTATTATTGGGCATTCTGAGGAATAATTAATTGGTGAATGTCATATATTTCTTTTATGTTCCAGAAATGCTTCTACTTGAAAAAAACATTCTCTTTTTTTTATTACTATTCCTTTTCCTTTTCTTTTGATAAGTGAAATGAGTGAAAGCCTTGACGAGCACCAAGGGGATGCTAACGCATGTGGAAGGCCTTTTTATAAAAGATAGTAGATAGAAGAAACCGATAGCATCATGTACTTTAATGATTTATGAACGACTATCAAATGATAATAATGGAGTATTAGACCATGGAAGCTTATGTACAAAAAGAAAAAAAAAGATCTTGAAAGCAAGAGCTTTTTATATTGTTAAAGTGAACTTGAATGCCCTTCAATTTTATTTCCCTCCAGAAAAGCCAAAAAGTGGAGGAAGGGATCAAATCTACCACTCTACATCTATCTTTACAAGCTTGTACACTTCCCAAGCCCACAACTCCTCTGGTCCTTCTCAATTGAACCTGCTATGTCCAGAATAGCATCAGTTAAGACCAAAGTTGTCTTCTCAAGACAACCATTTAGAAGATGAAGCACCAATTAGTTGCTGCCTTACGGAGGAAATATTGATGGAATAATTTTTCTCCTCTTTCTAAGGTCATGTATGATTAAAACTCTTTCTCAAGATTCTTCTTATGCAAAAAAGGTGTCATAGTACGTGCCATGAGCTTCCATAATGCTTTCCATAGAATGTTTTTCCTCCCTTGAGTTTTGTTTACTAATTCCCCACTATCTGATTCTGTAAGGAATGATAAAGTCTATTAAAGCAGTGAACTGTTTTTTTTTTTCTATGGTCTTTATGAAATCTTCCTTCCTGCTTTGTTCACTTAAGATGGAGGCAGTTCTCTCAATTATTCCCTTTATGTTACCCCCTTTGTTCACCAGAAATATTTCACTGAAATAACCTTGTTTTCTAAGCCTCAACAGTCCACTTTACTAGAATGCAACACCATATCGTAAACCAAGTTGAAAATTTGGTGAAAGCCTCATATGCCTTTTCTTTGAGTACCTTGCGAACCAATCCTAGGTAGGAATAGCTCTTGAAATTATTTGGAGATGAGGGACTTATTGTGAAAATATATGAATTCCTAAATGCTTAAAATTTTTGTGTGTGTTGGGGATTGGCCTATTCAAGTTTAACATGACCACGCAATTTTGTATGACCATAAGGCCAGCATGTGGTAAGTATTTTGGTCAGAGTAGCAGATATTGTAAAATGCTCTGCATCTTGCACCCAGGCATATTGTTTTTGATTGATGAACTGGTGACTTATGCAGAATAATTCACTTCTTCATTATTTAATTCTAAGTACTGCTATGAGTTTTGGCCGACCCCAAAGTTATGTGATATAAGGCTTAGTTTATTGTTGTTGTTTGTTGCTATGAGTTTTTTTTCATTTTTTTTGTGAAATGTTTTATTTGAGTTACTGCATATTGCTAGATCTCTTGGCAGGACATTACTTTTCCTCAAAACTTCCAAAAATCTTCAGTTGGATCTCTCATTAATTATGCAACTTTAATGGAGGAATGCTAAAGTTGATAAACAACCCTATTGTCTTGTGTTCGTTATTCTACATGGCTTTAAGTTTCTCCAAAGTTCAATTCCGCTTTTTTTTTTTTTTAAATTCTTTTGGTCTTTTATGATAGCCCTTTTTTTCTTCAATGGAAATGGGGATAACCCCTACTATTTAAGTATGAGCCAAGGATTGAGCCCTGGCCCTGCTGGTTCAACCCCCTAAAGGGGGGATATGAATGGCTGGGCTAAGTTCATGGTTCAGTTTCCCCCCTCTTTTTCCCCATCTTTCTTGACTAAAATTGTGTTGCATTAATCTCATTATGTGGGCTATACAAACTGACATATTCTTATAAGCTTTGTTTATTTACCAAGATATGGCAATTTTGTTTGTCAAAACTAAATTAAGATTTGACTATATTCATGACTAATTGCTCTATGCTGTGATGTTCTTATGATGCATGATACATACATAAATTTATATTAGAGATTTTAGTATATTCTATGAGAAATGAGAAACAAATAAAAACTAAGGCGTTTATAAGAGTTATTTAGGTTGAATGAAGTTTGGGTAGTTGTTGAGTGTGTATGATATTTTTGTCGATGTCAATTATTTTTATTTGTTGAAACTGCTTCTTTACCTCTACCCTTACCACTATCAAAGGATTTTTCTTAAGGAACAGAAATGTAGAGTATGATGATAAAATAAAGGTGTTTAGAGAAATATATTAGAGCTATGATGTCCTAGTGAAGGGTTTTTGAAGCTGTTCTCACAATGGTTTGTGGAGATAAATATTTCCGAAATTTTGTTTATTCTAATACTGAAGAAAATATGGAATATTGGAATGTAAGAGGGTATTAGAGAGGATTTGTTTTGGATGTCATGGGCGAGTGACATCTCCAATTTAAAGTGCCAGCTTTTCTTCTACCATATTGCCATTCAATATCAGAAATAGTTCATGTCAGCAATCTATAATTCTAACATAGATTTTAAAATGGAAAGCTTCACATTTGAAGTATGTTTTCCATTAGATTGAATGCTTTAGTAGAATTTGTAAAAAAAAAAAAAAATCATTGACAACTTCAATTATTCTAGGTTGTGGATGATAAAATAATTACATGCTACAAGAACTTTATGACCGTCTTGAGCTGCAATCATTTCACTAGATAAAAGAATCTGATGCCAATTTATGGCCTGTATGTTCGAAGTTCATATCAGTATATGAGATATGAAATGAGTTCATTCTACTTATCAGAAAGGGAAGGAAACTCAAAAAGATAATTATCTTAATTTGTCATTTTACTATTTTAATCTTTCAGGTGTCAGAGGAGTTCTCAATGCCCCATGTGCTGGCAGCCAATTAGCTTGAAAGATCCAACAAGGTTTGTGTTTCATCTATATTTTGTTTCCCTATTTTATTTTTTTTATTTACTTCTCCAGATTCTTCTTGTTGATGTGTATTACATGCCTAATCATTTCTCTTGCTTTGGCAGCCAGGAGTTGCTTGAGGCAGTTGTACGTGAAAGGAATTTTAGGTTCAATCCCTCTAGAAATGCAACCATATTTCATCATCCAACTCTGGGGGATTTTGAACTACAACATGTTTGTATTTCTGATCTGCTATTTAGATGTCTAGCATCCTGATTTTTATGATCAATAAATTGAATCAAGTCCAATTCCTAGATAAAGAGCCATACTCATAGGGTTGCTTTCAATGTAGCTGCCTGTGGGGGCTAATGATGCTGAGCTTGAGGAGCGTATAATCCAGCACTTGGCTGCTGCTGCTGCAATGGGGCGAGCACGTCACATTGCAAGAAGGGAAGGTCTGAGGAATAGGTCAACTGCTCAAGGTCGTCCACAGTTCTTGGTATTTTCAGCTCATCCTAATGCACCCTCTAGTGGTCCTTTATCTTCATTGTCACCAACTCAGAGAGAAGGTCAGCCAGCCCCCGCAATTGCTGTTGGCACTCCTTCCTCTCCTGCAACAACAGTGGGGGAAGAATCTTCGGTATCAATTACTCCTGTACCTTCTGCCCGAGCTGATCAGCAGTCTGCCTCAGCATCTGGCTCCAGTGTTCTTTTGGTCAATGATCAAGGGAATCCCTTGAACAATAGGTACTTGCTGTTCTCTAACGTGATTCACCATATGTTCCTGTTATTAGGTAGTTGTCTCAGATGATGTTTACAATGCATTTTTTAGCCTTGCTTTATGCTGATCACAATAATATCTTCCATTGTTCTCTTTCTGGAGGTCTCCTAATCAGTCATCTCCTAATAGTCAAGATAGAGCAGGACCTTCAGAATTCCAGTCATTTTCAGAATCATTAAAAGCGAGGTTTAATGCCGTTTCGATGAGGTACCGGTCATATTCAGACATTTGAGATTTAATCTAGGGTGATATTTTGATGTTTTCTTTTACATGATTTATTATAAATTTGCACTTATATTTTGATTTATGGATCTTTTTAGATACAAGGAGTCGATTTCAAAGAGTACAAGGGGGTGGAAGGAGAGATTTTTCTCTCGCAACACTTCCATGGCAGATCTTGGTTCTGAAGTTAGGAGAGAGGTTAATGCTGGCATTGCAACAGTCTCGCGCATGATGGAGCATCTAGAAACCAGAGATAGTGGAACGAGCACGGCTACTGTATCAAGCAGTTTGGAAGATAGGTCTAATCCAGAATCAAATAACCACCAGATATCAGATGCTGGTGGAGAAACTCCTTTGACTGAAACCAGTGCACAAGCCTCATGTGCTGCTAGTTCTGCTTCCAATTAAGTATTGTTTCAGTAACTTCATCAACTGAAAAATGTTTTAGCATCAACGGTAACCTGAGTTGTTAAAATTTTGCTTGATTTTCAATCGCTGTATATAGAATATGGATGATCTTTTCTGATATACCTTCCCTTATAATGTTATTGAAATTGACTATTGCTTCGATGATTGGTACCATGTGGTTATCATTCTCTCTCTTAATTGATATCTTCTTCTGTTACTCTTTTTCTATCTATATCTTTTGTAATCTTTAATGAGTTAGTAGTATTTTCTATTATGCTTCTTTCATTTGATCTCTAGTGCTTATCATTCCAGATGTTTTGTTGCCCCTTATTAATTCATTCATGAATTTTTAATTACACATAACTCCCAAGAGTCAAGTTGAATTGGTTAAACTTTTAAATATATAAATATTATAATTTATTTCAGCATTTAATTGTACTTAATGGTATAAAACTGCAGATAACGTAAATTTGGATACTGACTGTACCAGACATGAACATTGCAATAGCATGCTGATAAAAGTATTCCAACTTTCTCACACTTTGTTTTATCACCAAGTTATTGCCGCACTGTTCTTATCTTGTTTTATTGCCGTGACATTACCTTGATGTTGTTACTTCAATTCTTAATGGACATGTCTGTGTCTGATACTGGGTTAAATGTTCTATTTCCAGATATGTTTTTGATGGATGTGTTGCCCTCCTTTTCCAGCCATTCTTTATATCCTTGGACATCTGAAGAGATCAGTTGGTGATCGAGAACTGATTCAGAATAAAATATGCTGAAAAAAAAAAGTTATATTTGTCGTGAACAGATTATGTAAATCAGTTTATATTCTTAACTTTATTTATGAATATATAATTCTAGGCGAAGTGTTGAAAATCTTGAAGATGGGACAAATTCTAGCTTGATGAGCTTTCATGAGGATTATACACCTTTTAACAAGCACACACGAACATTATCCCTGTAATAATATTGCTTCTTAGTACCTTGATTCGGGGAGCTTTGTTCTGTTATAACGCTGTTAAATGCTGTTCAGATTTTCAACACAATATGTGGTACTCTATAACTTACGAATATATAAAAATCGATAGTGATTGGTGTCTCAATAAACTTTAATAAAAGAAATATTCCACCATTTAGCTACAATTTGACGATATACCAAATTGAGTTTCAAGCGGAAGTAACGAGCAATGATGACCTGCCTAGAATGCCGACCCTATGTGGCAGATGACTGCCGAGTCTCCACCAATCGAAGGTTTTTTATGAAAGTAAAATTGGGATGATCAGATGGCAACAGAACGTCTTGCTTCACACCTGATGGAAAGCCTCTTGTTAAGTACTGCCAAGTTTTTGTCAGCAGGAGTAGGTTGAACGACAAGTTTAAATGATAGAACAATGCCTTGAGATTGCTTGACAACTGGGATAATATGCTGATTTGTCAAAGTTAATGCCCCTGACCAAGAGAAACGCTTTGCACATTTACGAATAACTTTGTCAAAGGGCAGAAGAAAATTTTATATCATACCAACCATTGCAGAAATGCAGTAACTTATTAGGACATGTACTGTAAACAACTGCTTTCATCAATTTCATTCTAAAAGTAGAATAATGACTGTAAATCCTTCAAACTCAACGCAAAGTTTCTAACAAAATGCCAAAGCATCGAACCAAACATTACATTTTCAACATGCCGCCATTATTAAGCAAATGTAAACCAAGTCTTGGTGCCGTTCTCAACATCATGCTGAGTTCAAGACCGCCTCTGACACTTGTTTTCCCACCACTCCATAAATTTGACTTGTGCAGCCATTGTGTCCAATCTGTAGAGTTGATACCAGTGGTTTGCAATTTCTTGTCCAAATGTCCAACCAAAAACAGCTCCAGCTGCAAAAGACAGTCCGGCACCTGAGAGAAAAAATAGTGGTGAGAAGCTTAGAACAACTTCAGTTTGTCTCATAAAACCAGTCATACCAAGTTCCAACTCTGACATGTAATAGAGGAAAAATTGCAAAATGCAAACTAGGGAAGTTCTTGTGAATGCACAACTGTTCTTTTATAAGAAATACCAGCATATATTGTATTTTCTCCTCTCTTTTGTGTTTCTCCGGCTGATCTATTTTAATTGGATTACTATTTCTCATTAGACAAAACAGAAAGAAAGAAAGAAAGCATGAAAGAAAAGGAAAACCACAAGCCATGGAGCAAGCTATATAATCACCTAATATTTATAGTACTTGCAAACCAGCAAAGAAACCAGTAAGACCTAGAGAGGCCAACAAGAGAGGAAAAAAACTACTAATAAACTAACAAACATCAGTTTACGAGGAGAATACAGAAAACAAGAGAATTACAACTCCCACATATTGGAAATCATTCGCAATTTCCCTATAGTTTTATATATTCACCCAGGCTTAATAATGTAATCCACAAAAGGAGCTTCCACCCACATGCTCCCCTAATTGTTGAAAGGAAAAGGTATTTTGATACTCATATAGCGAACTAGATTTCAATTTTTCATCCAACTACTTAATAGTACAAAAAAATATGACCGTAGAGAATAAGCAGTAGATTACCATGTAAACTCCTTGAGTATTTCCAGGCAAAACCTGCAGTTGATATTGCTCCAATAGCAGCTCCTGCTAAGGCAATGTTCGTTGCTTCCCTAGCAGTCTTCAACTGAAAAAGGAAACAATGAAATTCAAGCAATTTGAGGCTAAAGTATGTTGCAGTATTGCTCTTACTGCAGTGAAATGACAATATGGAGATACTATTCAACCTTTTAACAACCGAAAAACTATACATTGTTGCTTAGCAAATTAGGGAAAGCCCATCAATTAATTCTAACCTACAAAAACTACCCTGATAATAAAAATGTCTAACTACAACAACCGTCAAAACAAAACTATTTTGACATTGAAAAGCAGGGAGAATAAAAGAAATATGAAAAGGGTACAAGGAACAAATGATTAAAATAGCTTAAAAAAACTAATCTTGAATTTCTCCCAATGGTAAGCATATCCACCTATATCAAAACTAAGTTAAAGAAACAATTTTGAGACAAAAAATCAGTAGAAAAGAAGAAAAAACGAAAAGGGTATCAGTAAAAATGATTAAATTTGCTAAAATTTGAACTAAATCAAAGAACCCAATACGAAAAAAAACCTAAGAATGAAGACCAAAATAGTGAAAAAGAAGGAAACGATTACAGTGGGGCCGTGAACAGAATCAGAAACAATGAACTCGTTAACATCGGATTCAGACCAAGGAGGAAGAGCCTCATCACGGTTGATGATTTTTGAATAGATATCAGTATATGGAAATCGCTCTGCCCAGAATTCTTTGTATCCTTCCCAGTACTTCTTCAAGAATGACTCCGATGATGACTCGCCCATTTCTTTTTCTTTTTTTTTTTTTTTTTTTCAATCGGATTTATTGATCTCTCGCTTTCTCTCAGACAGATTCCTCGGCCTTCTTCCTTTTAGATGGGTGAGCGGCTTGGATGTACGCTGTGGGCTTAGGTCTTTTTGTTGCACTCACCAATCAAAATTTCCCATGTAATATATATATTTTTTCAATTATAAAATTTTGTTAATTACTCGCTACTACTAACTTTATTTAATGTAAACCATTGATATTTTAATTACTGGTGCGTTTTTTGACCAAAAAAACAATTGATAAGGTTTTTGGGACCGCTAAAACAGAGAGCGACATAAATATTTAAATTAAAATTTTAATAAAAAATTTAAATTGATAAATTGATAAGTTTAATGAGAAAATCAAAATATATAAAAAAAATTTATTGAAAACTTCGTTCAACGGATAAAATTTTTACTAAGAATAATTATTTAAAAAATATATCCAAATTTATTAATTTTTTTATTTTACATATTTAATTTATATAATAAAATATTTTAATATATGATTTTAATTTATATTTTATAATTTATATTTAATTATTTTCATTAAAAATTTTACAAATTTATTTGAAGAATTTCATCTAAAATTTTTTTAATATATCGACCTTAATCAACAAACCAACTCTTTATTGACTATAATAATTTCATTTTCTCATTATTCATTTGAGGTTATTAAAAATTCAATGCATTGATAATAATATATTTGAGATTTTACTTGAAAGATGAATTTATGAATAAAAAAATTTCATCGGGAGAAAAAATTTAGTAAAGAATAGAATTTATGGAATTTTTTACATGTAGAAATTTTTATTACAAACTTATCGTATATCATATTTTACATTCATAAAAAATTTAATAGACAAATAAATTAAATAAATTCATAAAGTTGAATTTATACGTGATAAGATTTAAATATAATAATAAAAGTGATAAAATGAACTTAAATTCGAAAATTCATTCAATGAAATATAAATTTATTCAAATTTAATATTATATATATATATATATATATAAGTTACAGGTTAAACCTTTAAATTTGAAAAAAATTAAATTCGAAAAAACAAAAACCTAAACTCGATTCGAACTAAAAAAATATACTAAAATAATTACATCTTCCACAAAATCTTAAAAAAAAATCTGACTAGCATGGACCTAAACTAAGACCAAACTGAAATAAACTCTATCCAAACATAATCTAAATGATATTTTGAGAAGATATTGGATATTAAGTCTTACGAAAACCATAAATTGGAAGTTTGTTTTCCATAGTAGTAGATTAATGAAGACAGTATGTTCTGAATTCTGATAATAATCTTAAGCATTGTGTCTTTAGTCTTCTGCAATATAGGCTGCATGAACTAAAGATTCTATCAATGCATTTCTCAATTATTATTGGTATTGTTCTCCATACTTTTGGTGATTGTATTTGAGAATCTAGGATGAAGCCCTGCCATGGGAGAATTATTCTCATTGTGTTGCTCAGACATTAGACTAAAAAGACAAGGAAAGGCTATTCAAGCAGAATTAACATTGCCTGAATTGCAAAATTTTTTTAGGACAAACAATGTCAGGCACAGGAAAGGAGTTGCTTTCCATTTTTGTTTAAACAAGACATACTTGCAATTCCTTGCTTGTAAATGCAGTTATCCATTCTATCTCTTATCTGTAATACGGTCCATGCAAATAATAAGTATACACCTAGATATCAAATTAAAAGGTGTATACTACAATTGATCATTCAAACATAAATGCTATCTTTTCAAGGGGAAACAAAGCCGAGAAGAAGATGGCCACATTCAGCATGCCATGCTAGTCTTTGTATGGCAAAGAATAGCCAACTCAAGCCAAATTGTAAACCGCCACAAAGGGCATGAGAACACTCCCTAGCCATAGCTTGCCGTTCCTCTCTTCAACTTCACTAACTGCTTTGACAACCTTCCCATCGCTATCCTCCAAAATCTGTAACAGCTTTCCCTCAGGGCTGTATTTGACAACTAGTGCGTGCAGCTTACCCCCGATATGAAGCAGGTATTGAATCTTCGAAGAGATGGGGAGCTTGAGAATGAATTTCCTAAGTTTTGGATATAATCCCAATAAATGAGAGAACATGAACTTGCGACAGTGAATTGCTACCCAAAAATCACCATCTTTGTTTGTGCAGACATTGTCGGGAAATCCCGGTAAGATGGCAAATACCTCTGAAGTCCCTGCTTTCTCACCTTTCAACAAGTACTTGAGTAATCTGTATTTAACATGTATCAAACCATCACATTGTGTTACTTTTCCAACTGAAAGAAAGGTTAGATTTGTCCACATAATAGCATTGCCTATTTGTACAAATTTAACAGAATCATATAGCAAGACCATTCAATGATGATAAATACTTTTACAAGGAAAGAGTTCTGATCATCGGTTTCAACTTCCATTTTTTTAATGTGATCTTTTCAAAATTCCTAAAGCAGACACTACCTGTTTTTTTTTAGCAGTATCTGGTTTTGTGGCATGAGTCGAAAGCAAAATGGGATCCAAAAGTGTTAAAAGCCATCTTTGGATTTGAATCTAAATGAAAAACTTTTGTATTGGGTATAGCACATCTAAAGCAACAATATGAGTAAATTTGGAAGTAAAGCTCACCTGCCTGGACATCCTTCACAAAGTACAAGAAAAGAACCATCCTTGCTTAAGGATACACCATTAGGAAATTGGAGATTTCTCATAAGAACAGTGGTTTCCTTTGTGTGTAGATTATACTTCAGAAGCCTCCCACTATTCTCCGAAGAAAAAACTAGCTGCATGAAGTTCCTGAATATTACAGTGTCAGTACTAATTGATAATCCGCATGATGGAATTTTACAAGGAAGCAACATACATACATACATACATACATATATATATATATATATATAATGCAAATTACTGGAGCAAACTGAAAATTTGCTCAGTTCCACTCTCAGAGGCAATTCATCTTGGAAGGTTCACATGTCAATCAAAATAAGCATAACTAAACTTATACATATATATTTAAGTACAGAAGAATTTCAATACATCAATGGTTAGAATATAGGAATTTTTATCAATGAAACCAATTGGATATTGAAAAGTGCTAACCTATACCAAGATTTCTTCTTCTTTCTAACAAACACTACCAGCAGTTTGAAAGCTAAAATCAAATAACTACATATGTGGAAAACCCTCCAGTCTCAACAAGCTCCCTAGCCAAAGTCTGTTCTATGGAGCAGATTGTTAGTATCACTAAATTTGCAACAAAATGACAGTGTCCCCGCTTCCTCTTCCATGTCCTAGAAAACAGGTTAGGAGGCATTTGAAGCCTTCTGATTCAATAAAATGCTTCAACAATCCATAAGTTTACCAAAGGCACTAAGAGTTTCATAATATTATTGTCCACATCTTAGAAAGGAAATTATCATCAGAAACGTACCTTCTCTGGTATTTGCTGCTGCTATCAGTAAAATATATGTTTCCTTCATCATCAATGTCAAGGTCATTGGTAAACCTGAGAGGCACCCCATCTGCCTCAGTTACAAGTGATACTGCTAATCCGCCTTCCGGACCCACCTTGAATAACCCCAAATATGCGTCAGCAATGTACAAATCACCAGTGTTCTTATCAAATCGGAGGCCCAAAGGCCTGCCACAAATATGCTCATGTGGCAGGTAACTCAGTGGTGATGGCTTTGGATTACATAGTTCTGACCTGAATCCCAAGTTACATACGGTAAAAGATTATGAGAGCAAGATTTTGATAGTAAATGCCAAAAACACTGCTTCTTGTTGGAGATATTTTTCCAAGAAATACCCAACAAGAAAAACACATAGCAAAACAGACAACCAGACCAACTTTCTAATGTCATGTGCCATCCAATATGGAATAAATACTATACAACTATGACTAACCTTACACAGCCAGAATTTACTAACTTAGAGAATAAAGAAGGAAAGTTCAAAGAAATCATGTTTCTTTCTTTATTGATTAATAGGAACAGTTCCCTAAATCTCTATACTGTATTGAAGATGAACTCCCTTTGAGCTGCATAAATCATTTGGACTATAATTCAGTGTTCAACCATTTTCTGAAAACTCATACAACTCCTTAACTAAAGAAAACTATCATGATAATTGACCGAACAAATAGAAGGTTGAAGATTCCCAGGCTGATACTTCACATTTGTTAACAGCACTTTATGAAGGCAGGCAGCAGGCATTCCCTATTTTCCATGAAAATTTCTACCAAAATACAACTATGTAAACATAAGCCACATATGTCTGCAACAGAAACAACCAAAATGGATGGGAAAAAAACAAAAACCCATAAGCGAGAACTTGAAAACTCACCTATTGCTTGAAGTATATGCAAAATCCTTCCACTTTTCACCATCCCAGAAGAGAACCCGACCATCAGCAACACCAGTGTAAGGACCACGCCCAAGAGGGTCAAATGCCAAGCTTTCAGGGCCCTGAACCTGCTTCAAGAACTTAATCTCTGATTTCTGAAGCAAATTATCCTTATCCTTAACCGTCGGAACCAGTTCCCATGAAGGCATATCCACCTTGTAAGCCTCAAAGTCAGGAAATTCAGAGATTGCACTGTGCTTAAAAGGGTCTAAACCACAGTACAGAGCAAGCAGTAAAAACAATACACCAAGAATTGCCATTGAAGTCATCGCTAGCAAACCTGAGAAGAAAACAAACAAAAACAAAACAAAACAAAACTTGGAACAGAAAATGATCAGTTTTTCAGGTGAAGTTTAAGCCTTAATCAAAACCTGGGTATCCATAATGCTGGGCTTTCTTTTTTACTAGAAAGAAAGAAACAAAACAACCCTTTTGTTTGTATGTGTTGAAGGATGGACAGAGAGTCCGGTAGAGCTCATTTTTGGTGGCTTTAGTTCCTGGTTATCGGTAGATAAACGAAATGGGATTGGTGAACTACCGATGTTTAGTTTTTTAACTTATTCTATTTTTAATTTTATTATTCATTTTAATTTTTTTCTCGAAATCTTAAAAATCAAATACAATAACATATTAACTTATCAAAAATTAACGGCCATCAATATTTAGTTTTAGTTTCAAAGAAAGTGATCGAGTACCATAATTGCTTGTTTATGGGAAAAAAAACTACAATAATGTTTTTTTAAACATTCATAAATCTAAATATATATATATATATATATATATTTGATTGAGAGGAGGGCAATGTTGTAAGACAAGAAATCGAAATCATAATGAAATAAGCAAATAAATAAAAAAAAGTTTTTGAAAATTTAAAGTACAATAAAATCTTTTTTGATTTCTCCATCCATTTAAAGATCCTTGTATACTAATATTTAATAATCTCATGCGAATATGCACTCACACCTACTCTAATTCCAATATAATAAAAAATAGAATTACAAATTATTTTTCACGATTCTCAAATTGTACTATTTAATTTTTTGATACATATAAGATTGTAATTTGAAAATAATAAAAAAAATAAATTTAAAATTTAAAATTATTAATCTTATCTTCTAAAATTAACTACATTAACAAAATAAAAAACTAAACATACAATATAATAAATATTTTTATTTCATTCTTAATAAGCAATTTAATGTTAAAAATATATTTAAGTCATAAAATAAAACAAATATGTAACACTCGACAGATATGAATAATTAATTAATAATCATGTATATCTCCTTTTTTTTTAAATTAAATAATCAAGGGATTCACAAGAGGAGGAGGTAGGTTGGATAATTAGTTGGCTTGAACTCTTGAACAAACGTTTCGAGCCAACAGACATTTTTTGGGACTTGAAGCGATTGGGCTAAGTTTCCAAAAGAAGTAGTTGGGTCGAAACTAGTTAGACGGGTAGATGGACTGGGGTTTAATAATGCTGCTAGTAGAACATATTGACGTCTCTTCTTTTTTTTTTTGTTTTTTATTTAACGACAAAGATTTTTATATTTTATTTAATATGTTCTCTTTTGAGTTCGATCTAAATAAATTTATTTAAATTAAATTTAATAAATTTATAAAATTTTTTTTTTTTTTTTATAATATCTCAACGAATTCGCGCTCAAATAACATACTACTATTCTCATACTTACTATTATGGGACTAGGCCATGTTTTAACTTTTAGGAAATAAGTTATACGGGCTGTTTGGTCCAATGGGCTCTTAAAACAAATCGTTTTTGGCAATTTTTGTAAATTTCACACAATTTTAAATTATAATTAATTATATTATATTATAATGATTTTAAGTAAAATGTCACTACGAATACAAACCATCAACTTGATTTTTTTTTCTTTTTATGGTTTGCTTGAATATAAATAATTTTTTTCTTGCATTTTGAAGAATAATGTATTTTTAATTTTTTTAAAATTTACTGATCGTAAGGGTTTTCATTTTTTTTTAGTTAGATTTTGATGTTTGTAGAAAAAAAATAAGCATTTGATATTGTCTCAAATAATATAATCGACATTATATATATAGTGAATATGAGAAAATATTACATATATATATTTTTATCATATTAATTGTGAATGAGAAAATTTTTAAGATGCATAAAAATATTTGTCTAATAAATTTTCATTATTGTGCTATTTAGCGTGAAGAAAACAAGAAATTGTTTTGAGCATTCGTAAAAGATTAAGAAATGTGTGCATAAATGATAAATTTAAAAGGAAAAAGTTTTGAAGTTTTTCTTTTTTCTTGGATCTCATTTGGTTGGTTAGTTCATAACAATGCATGTGGGTGAAGAGAAATAGGAGAAATTGAGAAATAGGATTTCATGTCAAAAGTGGGGCACTTCTTACTGTAACTAATAATATTGTGCATGGTGGACAGTTGACTCATTCTTGTATTCTTTTGCTTTCTTATCCGCCTTTCTAATCTGTTTCCCTTTTCCTAGTTTTCCATAACTTTTTTTGTCATTAAAATCAAATCAAGTTTTTTTTTTTTGCCATAAATTAAATCAAGTTGAAACCTGAAAAAACATAGTACTACTAATGTTATTTTTTCTAATTCTTAAAATAAAAAATATACATTGGCCCTAAAGTCCATTACATGAAATGATGAGCCGAAGCCAATATAGCCATTGCCTTGCCGATGATATGGGATGGAATTGGTTAAAAAAATGGAAAATAAATGCTTTTTGGCAAGATGCATGTATTGTTCATAGACATGTTCTGGCTTAATTAGGGCACTTTTACTGTTTCTTCAAACTCTCAAACACTACCTCCATTGAATGCTTTATTTTTTACTGAAAGAAAAAAGAAAAAATAATAAAGGAAAAGAGAATCAAGTGGGCATGAGGCATGGGATTCGCAAATGCACGTGTTTGTCATTTCCATGTCGTTCATAAACACTAGCACATTATACGGATTGATCAAATGATTTTGAGCTGTGTTATAGTTAATATATATAATATATGTATTTGTATTCTCAAACTATTATTTTTTATGAGTGGTTTAAATTAAATATTTTATATCAATTTAGATTCGCGATTATATAAAGATGAAATATTTAATCTTAATCAAAAGATCAAGAAAGTCATATTTTATAAAAAAATACAATTGATTATGAGTACCTAAGTAAGATTTATATGAAAAATAGATTTTCATAATATATATAGAGCAGGGATACGCTTATATCAATGTAAATGATATTTTTTTATGACATTTGCATCAAAATTAATTCATAACACTTGCCCTTAACACTTATACTAATATAAGTCATTCATATTCTTTTCAATTTTTATTACATGAGACAAATAGTTAATATGTGCTTTCATTTTTGTGATTTTGATTATAGAAAATTTACTATATACGTTTTATTTAAAAAAAAAACTGTCCATAATATCAAATATGAGATCTTCTTTTAATTGTTGCAAAGATTTGGAATCTATACATTTATTCTAGAGATGAGATATGATTATCATTGAAATGAAAATCTCAAGCACATATAATACAACACGATTTAATGTTTTAATTTGAGAGTTCATGAAATAATTTTCTACCTTTTAAGGTGGGGAGGTTGAGACTTGAGAGGTGCTAATCACAAGTTTAGTTTCATTAATATTCACTTCAATTATTTTCTAAAAAAATTTTAATACAACATAACTAGTATTTGATATCAATTTATTGAGATCCATCTATCTTGAGCCATTAATGACGGCATGAGTTGTCCTCAACCTCCAAAATCAAATGGAAATCTTGAAAACGGTTCCTCAAATTGATGAAATTGTCAATTATAGAATCCCCCAAATCATCAAAATTCTGATTGTTTGAAGTTAATTTGGTTATTTGTTAATATTCATTTTTGTAAGTCGGAAATTGTTAATGTGTTTACGATCTGATTTTGACCTACATATGGTTTTTGCCCACTTTAGAAATCATTTTATTACCCTCTAGGTATAATATCACTTAAGCAAGCTTGCTTAATTCAAAGTCTTGCTAGTAATTAAGTAGATATTATCCAATATACTTGGACAAAGGCAAGCGAGCAATTTTTTGTTTCATTTTTTGCTTTTAAAATTCGTCGAATTCTCAATAATAATCACTATTTTTCTTGTCTAATTCTATCTAGATTACAATATATAATTATAGTTTCGCCAAATACTATTGAAATACTTGCTAGAAATTAATGTGAAACATTTAAAATTTCGAACAAGAACACAAGAAATATTAATAAGTGGTAGCCTTTCTTTTTCCCATTTCTAATTTGAGTAAATCCTTTTTTGTAAACGTATTTTTGTTTTTGGTTTTGTAGGGACACTTAATAAAGATTTTACATAACTGGTGATCCTTACTTTGGATTTTCAGCTTATATTAATTAATTCATTTCACACCTTAGATTTTCACGTTTGTTCACTTAAAACTTAAGCAAAATTGTTATCCAAAAAAAAAAAAATGTCAATCTTCATTTTGCAAGTAGAGTTGGATGTGATTTCAAGATTTTATACAAAATATTTGACAATCAACAAAGTGAAAATCTAGGCGATTGCTTCGATTCATGGTTTCTTTTATAAGATTAGATGTAAAAGTAAAAATTACGATCACAATTATAAGTTTATGACATATATATTATATAATAATTATTATAAAAAACAAAAAAAATCAATTAACAATCGCTATATTAAAAATTTTTTAATATATTGAGCCGTTTTAAACATGAAATCTTAAAAATAAAACGTTTTACATTTACACCCAAAAATTTAGAACGATTGGTTTATTACGTGGTTAAAATATAGGGCATATTTTCAAGCATCAAACCTATCATGTGAACACCAAATAATATTGATATTTAAAAATGCTCATTTCATTTTTTTTAAAGAAGTATTCTTTGCAATCTGTGGATTAGTTTCATATAATTTCAAGGCATATGATAAATGGTGTTCATGAATTGATTGTTTTTAGTACTTGGATTGAGTATGGACAGTTGACCCAGACATTGCGTCTGGATTCTAGCTATGTTAGAGAAGGAACTTCTTCCATGCACGACAACTGAGATATGTGAAAGGTTGCACAAAGAAAAGATAAAATTTGCAAAACGTTTTTTTTTAAACAAAATTTGGTGCAATGAAAAACATATGGTGTTTATCAAAAGATAATATTAGTTCATGTCAAAATGTTTAGGTGTTTTAGATATTCTAAAATTAAATTTACAATTTATAATTAATTATTATTTACTTTATTAATAAAATATTAGACTTTTAATTTCAACCATGATCATAATTTAATCCTTGATCTTGATGATTTCAAATATTAAAAAAATAATGTCTGCATTCCTTCGCCAGCAGAGGGGATCAATGAAAGTATTTCCCCTAATCTTGCAATGTACTTTCTAATGATGTTTTGGCCAAATTCAATAACTATTAATGCTATTTCTTTTTCTTAATAGGTGAAGGAGGATTCAAATC